TTTTTTCCAGGTGGAAGCTGGAAAGAGCAAGCATAAGCCATGAGTCACAGGGAAACCGAGAACAAGGCTCGTTGCGGGTATCTGTGACGTTCGCAGAAGCTTCCACCAGACTGACGCCCTTTGGGCATGCTGGGCTTCAGTTCCCAGCATCCCCAACCCATACATACCCTCTGGCTGTTAGGAATTGTGGGAGCTGAAGTTCAAAACACCTGGAGGGCTGGAGGTTGCCCTTGCCTGCACTAGAATGTTGTCCTTCCCAAGAGGAAGGCAGAAGCAAGCAGCTGCATCCTCTCCTAGATGGTTTGTTCTTCCTCAGTAAATACTTTTGCCGTCTTGATCACACTCCGACATTACCAATTGTATCCAATTGTGTGGTTATTATGTGGAAAAGTGAATAGTGGTAGGGTTGTTGTAGGTTTTTTCGGGCTATATGGCCATGTTCTAGAGGCATTTTCTCCTGACGTTTCGCTTGCATTTATGGCAAGCATCCTCAGAGGGTAGTGAGGTCTATTGGAACTAGGAAAATGGGTTTATATATCTGTGCAATGACCAGGGTGGGGCAAAGAACTCTTGTCTGTTGGAGCTAGGTGTGAATGTTTCAGCTGACCACCTTGATTAGCATTTGATGGCCTGGCAGTGCCTGGGGCAATCTTTTGTTGAGAGGTAATTAGATGTGCCCGATGGTTTCCCTTCTGTTGTTTTGCTGTTGTAATTTTAGAGTTTTTTAAATACTGGTAGACAGATTTTGTTTATTTTGAATAGTGGTAGTTAAAGAGCTCATTTGAAGGATTTCTGCTTTTTATTTTTTTAAAATATTCCCATCTAAACCCAAGTAATGAAGGTGGAGTCATTACTTATCATTCAACCCTTGTATAAATATTATAATTATAATTATTATTATAATAATAATTATTATTCTTTGGAACTTCTTAAGCAGGGGTTGGATATCCATCTGTCGGAGGTGTTTTGATTGTATCTTCCTGCCTGGCAGAATGAGGTTGGACTGGATATCCTTTGGAATCCCTTTCACCTCCAGGATTCTAGGATCCGAAGTCCAAGGGTGCCATTTCCCAGGCAGATTTCATTCTAAACCCGTTATGCCCTTCACTGCAATCCAGCCTTGTTGTTCTTCTGGGGTTCTTTTCAGGCTTAATTCTTTTCCAATCCTCTTAGAAACATTAAGTATCTTTCCGATTTCTGGAAAAATCCAGCAGAGGCTGTGGGAAAAACCTCCACATTGGAATGGTGGCTTGGATGAAAAAGTGTGGGTGACCGAGAAAATTTAGAGGCATTTTCTCCTGACGTTTCGCCTGCATCTATGGCAGTGGTTCTCAACTTTCCTAATGCTACGACCCCTTAATACGCTTCCTCATGTTATGGTGACCCCCAACCATAAAATTAGTTTTGTGGCTACTTCATAACTGTCATTTTGCTGCTGTTATGAATCATAATGTAAATATCTGATATGCAGGATGTATTTTCATTCACTGGACCAAATTGGGCATAAATACCTGATATGTCCAAATTTGAATACTGGTGGGATTTGGGGGGGGGGGGGAGCGGATTTTGTCCTGTGGAAGTTGTAGTTGCTGGGATTTATAGTTCACCTACCATCAAAGAGCATTCTGAACTCCACCAATGATGGAAATGAACCAAACTTGGCACACAGAACTTCTAATGTGTTCCATGACCAACGGAACACATTGGAAGGGTTTGGTGGGCATTGACCTTGAGTTTTGGAGTTGTAATTCACCTACATCCAGAGAGCACTGTCAACTCAAACAAGGATGGATCTGGACCAAACTTGACACAATACTCCATATGCTCAAATGAGAGCACTGATGGAGTTTGGGCAAAACAGACCTTGACATTTGGGAGTTGTAGTTATTGGGATTTATAGTTCACCTACAATCAAAGAGCACTCTTTGATTGTAGGTGAACTATGGAATTGATGGAATTCCATAGTTCAACGATGGAATTGAACCAAACTTGGCAGACAGATTGGAAGGGTTTGGTGGGCATTGACCTTGAGTTTGGGAGATGTAGTTCATCTACATCCAGAGAGCACTGTAGACTCAAACAATGATGGATCTGGACCAAACTTGACACAAATACTCAACATACCCAAATGTGAACACTGGTGGAGTTTGGGGGAAATAGACCTTGACATTTGGGAGTTGTAGTTGCTGGAATTTATTGTTTGCCTACAATCAAAGAGCATTCTGAACCCTACCAACGATTGAATTGGGACAAACATCCCACACAGAACCTCCATGTTCTATGTTTTCTGGTGGTCTTTGGCGACCCCTCTGACACCCCCTCGCAACCCCTCCAGGGGTCCCGACCCCCAGGTTGAGAAACACTTATCTATGGCAAGCATCCTCAGAGGTAGTGAGGTCTATTGGAACTAGCATTTGATGGCCTGACAGTGCCTGGGGCAATCTTTTGTTGAGAGGTGATTAGATGTGCCTGATTTTTTTTTCACTTCTTTTTGTTTTGCTGTTGTAATTTTAGAGTTTTTTTTAATACTGGTAGCCAGGTTTTGTTCATTTTGAATAGTAGTAGTTAAAGAGCTCATTCAAAGTATTTCTGCATTTGATTTATTAAATATTCCCATTTAAACCCAAGTAACGAAGGTGGAGTCATTACTTATCATTCAAAGCAGATGTCAAGGATGCCACCATCATCACCCTCTTCAAAAAAGGGGAAAGAAGAGACTGAGGAAACTATCGAGGTATCTCCTTCCTAACCTCCGCTAGGAAAATCCTCACAAGAATCCTTGCAAACCGCCTTCTCCCCCTCTCAGAAGACCCCCTCCCAGAATCCCAGAACAGCTTCCGCCCCTCCAGAGGAACTGTGGACATGATCTTCACTGCACGACTGCTCCAAGAAAAATGCAGGGAACAAAATCAACCTCTGTCCATGGCATTCATTGACCTTGCAAAGGCATTCAACACAGTGAATCGCAGCACTCTCTGGACCGTCCTCCAGAAAATCGGGTGCCCTGACAAATTTGTGAACATCCTGCGGCTCCTTCATGATGATACGATGGCAACAGTTTTGGACAGCAGTGGCTCCCAAAGTGACCCATTTAATATGGAATCAGGTGTCAAACAGGGATGATGTGTTATTGCCCCAACCTTATTCTCCATCTTCGTCACTATGATACTTCACCTTGTTGACGGGAACCTTCCCACCGGAGTGGAAATCATCTATCGGACAGATGGCAAGCTATTTCACCTCAGCAGACTGAAAGCCAAAACCAAGGTTACAACAACATCTGTTATAGAACTCCAGTATGCTGATGACAATGTCATCTGTGCGCATTCAGAAGAAGATCTACAAGCCACTCTAAACACCTTTGCAGAAGCATACGAGAAGTTTGGCCTGTCATTGAACATCGAGAAAACCAAAGTGTTCTTCCAGCAGTCACCCTCCAATGCCAGAAATACAGCTTAATGGTGTAATATTAGAAAATGTTTACCATTTCCGCTACCTTGGCAGCCACCTCCCCACAAAAGTCAACATTGACACTGAAATTCAACACCGCCTGAGCTCTGCGAGTGCAGCCTTTTTCCAAATGAAGCAGAGAGTGTTTGAGGACTGGGACATCCGTAGGGATACCACGGTGCTTGTTTATAAAGCTATTGTCCTCCCAACCCTGCTCTATGCCTGCGAGACGTGGACTGTCTACAGACTTCACATGCAACTCCTGGAACGACTCCATCAGTGCTGTCTCCGGAAAATCCTGCAAATCTCTTGGGAAGACCAGCGGACAAATGTCAGTGTGCTGGAAGAAGCAAAGACCACCAGCATTGAAGCAATGGTCCTCCACCATCAACTCTGCTGGACCGGCCATGTTGTCCGGATACCCGACCACCATCTCCCAAAGCAGTTGCTCTACTCCAAACTCAAGAACGGAAAACGGAATGCTGGTGGACAAGAAAGGAGATTGAAAGATGGGCTCAAAGCCAACCTTAAAAACTGTGATATTGACACTGAGAACTGGTGCTCCAACTGGAGGTCAGCTGTGACCAGCAGTGCTGCAGAATTTGAAGATACACGAATGGAGGGCAAAAGGGAGAAACGTGCCAAGAGGAAGGCACATCAATCCAACCCCGACTGAGCCTGCCTTCCACCTGGAAATCAATGCCCTCACTGCGGGAGAAAATGCGGATCAAGAATAGGGCTCTACAGTCACCTCCGGAAACACCGACAGAACACCGACCTTGGAAGACCATCATCCTCGGACTACGAGGGATCGCCTAAATGGAAAAAAAAGATGAGCTTTTCCCAAGAAAGAAGAAATAGCAGGAAAATCTTCAGGATGTTTTGGTAGTTGGTGGAGGGAGCTGTTTGGGGGAGCAAAAGAACTGCTCTGCATTTGTCATTTTTCTTTTACCTTTGTTTACAAACAGAGTGTGCGCAGTAGCACAATTTTGAAGCGCTTGCATTGTCATTGCATCATTGCACAATAGTACAATTATGGAAAATTTCTGCAGGGAACACTTTGAGAAACAAGCCCCGGAAACAGCAACAAAAAAGCCCACTGTATGGTTCAGATTTGTGGGTGACACCTTCACCATTTGGAGCCACGGAGAAGAACTCAACAAGGTCCTGGACCACTCTAAGTGGCTGAGGGGGAAAAGGAAGGGGCCTGAGGCTGTTAGGAATTGTGGGAGTTGAAGTCCAAAACAGCTGGAGGGAGGGCTCAAGTTGGCCCAGCCTGGGTTAAATCCTCGCTCGGTCAGGGACCTTTGAGAAGTCACATTCTCTCAGCCTCCGAGGAAGGCTGTGCCATTCCTGCCCAATTATGCCAGGAAAACCCTTGGCTCACTTAGGGCTGCAGTCAGTTGGATATCAACAAATAATTCCATGTTTTTACTCTGCTTAGGACGGACCAACAGGATTCCTGCATCACCCCTGCGTCTGCAAGCATCGCTCCTGTGTCTTATCATCCCACCTATTTAATTATTCTTTCTTTCTGTTTTATTTTACAGGCACCAAGATGGACTCGGATCCGGCAGCGAATACGTGAAGGTAGGGAACCAAATGGCGGCATTTATCAGAAGGGAGCCAATCTTAAGGCTTCCCTGAAGTGGAACTCTGCACTCAGAGTCTGGAGAAATCCCATTTCCTCATGCTTAAGAGCACCAGGTTGTTGTGAGTTTTTTGGACTGTGTGGCCATGTTCCAGTAGCATTCTCTCCTGACCTTTCACCTGCATCTGTGGCAAGCATCCTCAGAGGTTTGTTCAGAGGTCTGCTGGAAATGAGGCCAGTGGAGTGTATATATCCCTGTGGAATAATGTCCAGGGTGGGAGAAGGAACCCTTGTCTGTTTAGAGCAAGTGTGAATGTTGTAATTAGCCAGCTTGATTAGCATTGAGTATTTATTTATTCATTTACAGTATTTATATTCCACCCTTCCCTCCCCGCAGAGGACTCAGGGCAGATTACAATGCACATGTACATGGCAAACATACAATGCCATAGACAAACAACTTATATAGACAGACACAGAGGCAATGTAACATTCCAGGTTATGTCCGATTCCGGCCACTGGGAGCTGTCGCTTCACCTTTCACATGTGACACCGAGTCCTTGATGGAGTACTTCCTCATTCTTACGCACACTGCTGGAAGGTTTTATGGTGTCGTAAATGAGTTAAATTAGCCTCCCTACATAAAGCAGTATCTAAATTTCCTACTTCACAGATGCAACTGTCTTTCGGGCTGCATAGGTCAACAGCAAGCTAGACTATTGTTAGGGATTCCTCATCTTCGGAAGAGGAAGGGGAGTAGAGAAGTGCTCAGGAATTGGAGGGAGAAGAAGAATCAGATTATTCTTCTGTTTACATGTGAGTTATATTTATTGTATTGTTTTTTGTTTATTGTGTTTTTTGTTTTATTGATGTGTTGTTGGGCTTGGCCTCATGTAAGCCTCTCCGAGTCCCCTTGGGGAGATAGTGGAGGGGTATAAACAAAGTTTTGTTATTTTTTATTATTATCATAATGAGGTTTTACAAGTGCCCACATTTCTAGAGAGACGGAATGAGACAGAACACAGATGGTGTTCAACTGGAATAGCTGCTAGAAACGCTGAACTAATTGGGAGATGCCCTAGCACCTCCTACATGGGGAATTCAGGGCTATAAATCAGAAAGTTAGAAGCTTTCACTGCTAACAACACCTCTGGTGCCGATGTTTTCACTCCAATTGAACCTGCTTTGTGTCTGCTGCTAAGGACTTAGTGATCATTGCCCGTTGTCTGCTGGAAGACTGCTGTTTCTTTTGGGACTTTGTAAGAGACTTTAATTTGTGTCTGCATTAAGACTTCCTTGCTTTTTTTTGGTATTTTTCAACTGAATTTGCTTATCCTTTGTGTTTGGTGAAGTAAAGCATTTTTCTTTTATTTTCAACATTGTATTATAACTATTTTTGAAGGGCAACTCAGGACAACTATTAATGATCGGGAGCTTACTCCGACCGAGACTGGCTTCAAACACATGACCTCTCGCTCAGTAGTGATTTAATGCAGCTGGCTACTAACTAGCTGCACCACAGCCCGATCCAAGTAGCCTTGCAGCTGCAAAGTCAATCAGTGAGGGTATTTGCATAGGAGACTTGAGACATACGCACACACAATTGGCAAACATCCTTTGGATTAAGGACTTCTTTTCCATCTACTTCAGTCCATCCTGGTTGTTGCACTCCTCAGTGACAACAGTTCCCTTCTCCTCCTCTCTGCCTTTCTCGTTGTCACATGAAAAGGAGTGCGGAGGGGAGAGGGACAGGAAAACCTCCTCAAATCCGGCACACAACCAGCGCTGATCCTCCCTCCCAGCAAAACTATTAACATTCCAGAGGATTCATTAGAGACCCGAGGCGCTGCCAGCTCAAACTAAAACGTTTATCCCACTGTTGCCGCTCTTGTTTGGAGGTTTACTGCAGGTCAGGAAAGCTGCTGAGTTTGGTTCCTGAGAAACGGCTTGTCCTGAAAATACCTTTCAATCCCGAAACAGGCCCAGTGCCATTCCAAAGCATGAGGCTCAATTTTTCCTTTCCTGCAGATTTGATTATTCATGGATTTCTTTGAACAACATGGAGTAGTTCCACGGTCCACTTTCTATGATCACCAAGAAGGAGGACCTAGATCAGGCATGGGCAAACTTCTGCATCCCTCTAGGTATTTTGGACTCCAACTCCCACCATTCCTCACAGTGGTTGTGTCCGCAGGTTCCTTGGAACACATAAGCCCCCTCACCATGATAATCCATCGAGGGAGATTGTCACATCCCAAAGTGACCCATTTAAGGTGGAATCAGGTGTCAAACAGGGATGTGTTATTGCTCCAACTTTATTCTCCATCTTCATCGCTATGATACTTCATCTTGTTGACAGATGGCAAGCTATTTAACCTGAAAGCCAAAACCAAGGTTACAACATCTGTTATAGAACTCCAATATGCTGATGACAAAGTCGTCTGTGCACATTCAGAACACCTTTGCAGAAACATACGAGAAGCTCGGCCTGTCATTGAAAATCAAGAAAATATTTCAGCATTCACCAGCCAATCCCTCTGCTGTGCCAGGAATACAGCTTAATGGTCTAACATTAGAAAATTTTGACCACTTATTTATTTATTTATTCTTCTTATACCCCGCTACCATCTCCCGCACGACTCGGTGTGGGTTACAAGAGGCCAAGCCCAACAACATCATGAAAACAACAACAACAAAGCAATAAATAACTCATAAAAAGCAAAAACAATACAATAATAACACAACACATTTTAAAAACATGAGGTGGGCCAAATGTAAAAGTTTTAAAAGTTAAAAGCTGGGAAGTTTAAAGGGGATAGGAGGAATGTTTTGGGAACGGTGAACGTGCAGACAGTTTATTTATTTATTTATTTACTATTCTTGTATACCGCTGTATCTCAAGCCCGAGGGCGACTCACAGCGGTTTCCAAACAGTTCTAAATCTCTCATAAAGTGCATTGAGGACATATTGCTTAGGATTCCTTATTCTGGGAAGGCACACTGGAACATCCATGTTTTCAAGCTCCTTCTAAAGACTGCCAATGTTGGGGCCTGCCTGATGTCTTTGGGGAGGGAGTTCCAGAGTTGCGGGGCCACCACCGAGAAGGCCCTGTCCCTCATTCCCACCAATCGCGCCTGTGAAGTAGGTGGGATCGTGAGCAGGGCCTCACCAGATGAACGAAGAGATCATGTGGGTTTGTATACAGAAATGCGGTCGCGAAGATAGATGGGTCCCAAACCGTTTAGGGTTTGGGACCCATTTCCGCTCCCTTAGCAGCCACCTCTCCACAAAAGGAAACATTGACACTGAAGTACAACATTGCCTGAGCTCTGCGAGTGTAGCATTCTTCCAAATGAAGCAGAGAGTGTTTGAAGACCGGGACATCCATAGGGAGACCAAGGGGCTTGTTTATAATGCTATTGTCTTCCCAACCCTGCTCTATGCTTGCGAAACGTGGACTGTCTACAGACGTCACACTCAACTCCTGGAACGAATCCCCATCAGTGCGTCCTCCGGAAAATTCTAGAAATCTCTTGGGAAGAAGACAGGCGGACAAACGTCAGCATGCTGGAAGAAGCAAAGACCACAAGAATTGAAGCGATGCTGCTCCGTCATCAACTCTGCTGGACCGGCCACCTTGTCCAAATACCCAATCACTGTCTCTCAAAGCAGTTGATCTGCTCCGAACTCAAGAACAGGAAACAGAATATAGGTGGACAGGAGAAGAGATTGGGCTTAAAGCTGTGGCATAGACACTCTGAAGCCCTGGCCCTTGAGCGCTCTAACTGGAGGTCAGCTGTGACCAGCAGTGCTGCGGAATTTGAAGAGGCACAAATAGGAGCAAAGGGGAGAAACGTGCCAAGAGGAAGGCACGTCAAGCCAACCCCAACCGGGACTGCCTTCCATCTGGAAACTGTGGGAGAACATGCGGGTCAAGAATAGGGCTCCACAGTCACCTACAGATCCACATCCGGAAGACAATCATTCTCGTGCTACGAGGGATCACGTAAGTAAGTAAGTAAGTAATTCCTCACAGCCTCAGGCCCCATCCTTTCCGCTTAA